ACCGAGAAGACTACTACAACGGTGATATCGATCCGGCCCAGCCGATCAACATGGTGAAGTTCGTAGGCGCCGACTGGGATCAGTACCATATTCTCGTATTGGTATCCAAGCATCGCTATGTAGACGACAGCCCAGGCACCTACGTCGATCCAGACCTCAGCGACATTCCATTTCTTGACGATGATCCGTATTCTCCACCGAGTTTGCTACAAACACGAATGCCTATTGAAATGGGTGATCACACCAAGTCTCCAATGTCTCCTCCGGAAGATCAGGCGATGTCTCCAGTTGTTCCCATAGAGACGTATCCTCCAGGATCCCCTACAAGAGGTTCGATGGATCTGACGCCATCTTCCATGGAGCATCCGACACCCACGCAGGCAGCGCCACCTATTCTGAAAAGCTACGCGGCGTGATTCAGACGATCGTGAAGCAGAAGGCTAGCACGGCATCATCAGCGACTCGAGCAAGGACGATACAAAATCATGATGCAGACGAGGAACCTACTCAGCCTTCAACGTCCCAAGGACAACCAGCTCAGCAGCAGTTTGACGATGGACTGGAGCACGACCTAAGCGAAGTGATGGACGACGTAAACTTCGAAAGAAATGAGCAAGCTGATGGAGATTCATGATGAAGTTGAAGCCCTGGAGCGTAGTATAGAACGAGGACCAGCACGTCAGGTACATCAACCATCACAAGTAAGCAGATCACGATCACACTCACCTAGACGGCCTGAATCGGGAGCAGCATTATCATCAATACAGATTGTCCCCGCAGCCGAGCTCGATCGCACCACTACACGGACACGTCAAGACCCAAGAACACGGAAGGAGACCGACCTAGACGATAGCATTATCGACCTCGGGCATCAACGAAAGCAAGCACGACCTATTGCTGAACCATATCGACCGCTATCAGAAGTCATTCCCCAGCACGAGCAGGTCTTATTACTTAGTCAAGATGGATCAGCAGCAGAACATCCGCCACCTCCGCAGAGAGACATATCTCTTCAGGAGCAAGTACCTCCACCTGCCCCAGATGAACCAGCAGTCACTACTCCAACAGGTGGTCATGGCGTGGAGAACATCATGTGTCGAACGACACCTACGACCTCACTGAGGCGCTGGGTGAGTTGATGGAGGACCCAGAGGACGAGTCCCCACTACCTCTTCAAGATGCAGATGCACTACACGTGGTATGCTGGCCACTCGACAGATAGGTCAGTCACCACGCAGACGGAGGACTTGGTAAAGCTCTACGATATCAGTCACTTTCCTGACAAGCTCTACCCAAGCTCTCCAGACAACACCACACATCACCACGCTGCAGTACCACCATGGACGACGACAGCTTCCTGCTGCATCTTCAAGGGCTTGGAAAGTCATGGACCCTCGCGATGTTTCTACCTGGATTTGATGGATCACGAAATGGTGGAGATCTACGCGCCCCAAGCCGAGCAATTGATTCAGGAATCCGAATTCGAGAGTCTCTGGCCCCAGATCGAAGAAGCAGATCTCAAAGAAATCCAGAACTACGTCAAGCACGACTGCTTCAGGCCCAAGCTGAAGACGGAGTGCAACGACGCCAATTTCATAGACGCCACTTGGGTCAGACGCTGGATGTGGAAAGAGAAGTGGGTCGTGCGTTGCCGACTTTGTGGGCGAGGCTTCCTGGACAATCAGACATGGGCAGTGGACAGACACTCATCGACGGCAGCAAGAGTATCACAACGAATGATGGTATCCATTAGTCAGTGTGAGCCAGGCTTTGTGACAGAAAGCTGGGACATATCGTCGGCCCTCATGCGGGGTCTGAAGTTCAGCGAACTGCCCGAACGATCTCGCGAGCTACGACTGGACATACGAGAGAAGCACGAGGTCTACATCGCCCCTCCGGCTAATGTCTGGCGCCACCTCAAGCAGTTGCCAGAGCAGTTCGCGAAGATTCCAGATGACCAGTTACATCTATACGGTCTTGAATGTATCAAACCAGTTTTTGGACCCATTGACGCACCACTGTTATGGCAGGCGGCGTTGACACTCCACATCAAGGACAACGTGGCGGGCAAGCGAGCTCTACTCGACGAGAACTGTTTCGCGTGGCACGACGACCAGACGGAGAAGCTCACATTGGCCACGACGGTACATGTGGACGACCTCCTCCCGACAGGCAGGCAGACATGGTTGGATTGGGCACATGCATTACTAGAGAAAAAGTTCGGAAAGATCACGAGGAAGACCATGCCCTGCACACATCTTGGCATCGAGTATCATCGGCTTCAAGATGGAACCATTTTCTTGAGTCAAGACGCCTACCTGGATACGATCGAGCCACCTCCGATAGACAAGGAACGGAGTAAGAATGATAACTCACCCTGTACGGCCATAGAACATCATCAATATAGATCACTATGCTGTCAACTACTGCATCTTCTTCAGACGAGATGGGATCTCAGCGCGGCCACGACTCAGTTGCAGACGACGCAGACGGCCCCGACGATCGGAGACTTCAAGCAGCTGAAGAGCGTGCTGGAGAAGGCAAAGAAAACCGAGATCAAGCAGGACTCTATTATCGGAAGATGACCGGACCTTTCAGACCGGTGAGCATCAACGACGCAGCTCACGCGACCTAGACGACCTCTTACGCACACGAACCTCAAGGGTTGTTTCTAATGGAGGACAAGAAGATCGAGTACAAACGTCATGGGATTATATTAGAGACATCATACGACAGCGCGTTTGGCACAGCTCACCCATTGATCGGTCAGAGCAGGAAGTCAAAGAGAGTATCATATTCGACGAGTCATGCGGAGACGGTTGCAGCAGTTGGAGGATCTCAGACAGCACAGTTTACAGCGTTACGGTTCACAGAGTTGATTGCAAGGCCGATGTTGGAGAAAGCATATGGCAGCGTACTCAAGAACTTGCTGCAGATGCAGGATGAGGGCAGGTCAATCCTGCCGATTGATATCATTACGGATTGCTATGACCGGTTTCAGTTTGTGACGGGAATGAAAGGAATTCCAGTGGACAAGACAGCGGCTCAGTATCTTGAGCTTACGAGAGGACAGACTCTCAGGACGAGTTCGCAGATTTTATCACTGGCCGACGGAAGTGATGGTAATGGACAGTTTGACGAAGCAGGGAATATTTCCCCAAATGCAGGACTACTTCATATCTGGAATAATACGATACGCAGGATTACTGAATAAGAAGAACGACATCGAGAACGTGATAACCGCTGTCAGGGAGATAAAGGTCAAGAGCGAGTTCACGGAGCACGACCTGGTGAACATCAAGGCTTGACGGGCCTCCCTTCTTAGGAGCACAGAATCAGAGTGATAATATCAGTAGTACGGGCCCTGGTAAGAAGGGCGAGCAAGGTAGATTTCAGAGCTGTTTCAGAGGCGCCCTACGTCGCCACCGCTGGATAGGGCAGAGTGCCCTGGCTGCTGTTTTTATAGCCACAAATCGTAATACGATTGTGGTTCAAGGCGAGTAAGATGCCCGCTCCTCCTCCTCCTCCTCCCTCCTCCTCCCCCCTCCTCTCCCTCCTCCTCTTCCTCCCTCCTCCTCCCTCCTCCCTCCTCCTCCCTCCTCCCTCCTCCTCCCTCTCCTCCTCCTCGTCCTCCTCCCTCCTCCTCCTCCGCCTCCCCTCCTCCTTCTCCTCCTCCTCCTCCTCCTCCTCCTCCTCCTCCTCCTCCTCCTCCTCATCCTCCTCTGTTGTCCTTCTTTCTCCTCCGCCCCCTCCTCCTCCTCCTCCTCCTCCTCCTCCTCCTCCTCCTCCTCCTCCCTCCACTTCCTTCTCCTCCTCCTCGTCCTGGCTCCTGGAGGCTATACAATGTTCAGATGAAGCCATACCCAGCTCAACCCTTGAGAGCTGCGCGGGTGATAAAAAGTGACTCCACTAACAGAAAGGGGGGACTACCCCAGGATGAGAGCGAGAACGAGGAAGGGGACAACACGGGAGGGCACCAGCAGAGAAAAGGGAGGCAAGGAGGGGAGGGAGAGCAGAGCAGGAAAGACAAGGGTGGGAGAGCAGGATGGAGGGAGTCCTGGCAATCTGATGAACCCCCAAGCGCACCCGCCCCAAAGTGGCGGTCAAGACGTATAGGTTACTCTGTGGCGGCACGTCAGGGTGGAGGGGACGCTGGAGGGGTCATCGGGGACCGGGGCTCGATGGTTGTACGACTGCATAAGATACGAGAGCGCGCGTTGTCGTCATTCCCCCCGCCCTGGCTCCGCAACACACCTCCCACTGCCACCACCTCCTCCTCCTCCTCCTCCTCCTCCTCCTCCTCCTCCTCCTCCTCATCCCCCGCCCCTCCTCCTCCTTCTCCACCTCCTCCCCCTCCTCCTCCTCCTCCTCCTCCTCCTCCTCCTCCTCTCCTCTCCTCCTCCTCCTCCTCCTCCTCCTCCTCTCCTCCTCCTCCCTCCTCCCCTCCTCCTCCTCCTCCTCCTCCTCCTCCTCCTCCTCCTCTCTCCTCCTCCTCCTCCTCTCCTCCTCCTCCGCCTCCTCCTCCTCCTCCTCTCCTCCTCCTCCTCCCCCTCCTCTTCCTCCTCCTCCTCCTCCTCCTCCTCCTCCTCCTCCTCCTCCTCCTCTCTCCTCCCTGCTCCCTCCCCCTCCTCCCTCCTCCTCCTCTCTCCTCCCTCCTCCGTCCCTCCTCGTCCTCGTCTTCGTCCTCCTCCTTCTCCACCTCCTCCTCCCCCTCCTCCCCCACCTCCTCCTCAATGAGTAGGTCGACCCCTGGCTGTCCATCCTTGTTTGCAGATCCCGAGGCATGCTGTCGCTGGCGGCGACGGCGCCGCTGAGGTAGGCAGCCGCACGTCACGTGGACCCTACCCGTGCTACCCATCGACTTGGACATGCAGGGGTGGCCAGTGGGTGGCCAGAAACTGTCAGCGGACACGGGCGGAGTGGACCCCCTGGAGCCCCTATTGGTCCAAACCGATGGGAATCGGCGGGGGGGGGTATGGTTCATATGTGGCTGCCTTTAGGGGGCTGGCGACGCTGGCGGCGGACGTCGCGCCGGAGCTCAGAGGAGCAAAACAGACCGATATCTATGCCCTTGTGTCGGAGGCGACGAGAGGGGCGAATAGCCCAGGGGAGAGTAGTACATGTATCCAGGGGCGCCAGTGGTCCATGTCTTTAGCGGGGTTCCACGGCGAATGAGCGAACTACCCCCACTTGGCTATATTCGCCCCCTATCGTCGCCTCCTACTGGATCGAGGATGTGGAACAAGTCGAGGGCCGAGATTCTTCCTCTCTTGCAGCATCTGGAGGCCATCTTCGGGCTCGGGGACCGTCAGAAATCGATCCGGGATGAACAGGATGGACCCCGGGAGGGGTCGGTGTACAGTCGGGGCGCTAAACAAGGAACCTTTCTCGTTGGGGAGGGGCTCCGTGTTCCTTAATTGTTTCGCAGCTTGCCTCAGGTTGTCCTTAGGTTTTCGATGGGGAATCGAATTTTAACTTATTGAAAAAAGGGGCCTCGTTCCTTATTTAGGGTTCCTTAGGTCAACGCCCCGACTGTACCGCATTTGAACGGATTGTGATCGGAAGGACCTACCGAAACCAGTGCGGCTCCGCCGACTTCGGCGTTCTGGGCCTCCCATGGGCCCTCGGTCGCCACGACTCTGGCTTCGCCTCGGAGCTCTCGTCGGAGCGCGAGGGGCCTGGGCAGTAGCGGCATCGGCGTCTTGGCCTCGCAGGAGCCCGACCGGTTCATCCTGACATGGGGGGCCAACGCCCACAGCCAGTGCATGGTGGACGCGGCGGCTTCCAGCAGCGTGGTCGCGCCGGTGAGGGTGCCGTGCCGGCGGCCCATGAGGTCGCAGGGCTTGACTCGAACGGTGTTTCAGCGATCCCGCGGGCCGTTTTCGTTGCGCTCTCGTTCTGCAGCAAGGGCGGAGCGGAGACAACACGAGGGGAACACTTTTTTGGGGGTCGGCGGGACGAGAGCGGGCCTCTTCTGGTTAAGAGCTAGGCGGGGCGCGCGAAGCACTAATTGGGGAGACAACACGAGGGGAGCACGGGAACAAAGCGAGAACGGAAAACACCGTTCAGGTCGAGCCCTGTGAGGTCGCTGGCGGCGGGCTGGCACCACTCGCTGTTGGTGGACGGCAGCGGCTGCCTGTGGGGCGGTGGCACCAACCACGGCCACAGCCTCTCGGAGGAGGCGGAGGATTTGGGCATACCCAGCTGGGGGTCGAGGAGGAGGAGGAGGAGGAGGAGGAGGAGGAGGAGGAATGAAGAGGAGGAGGAGGAGGAGGAGGAGGAGGTGGAGGAGGAGGAGGAGGAGTTGGAGGAGGAGGAGGAGGAGGTGGAGGTGGTGGGAAGGAGGAGAAGGAGGAGAGGGAGGAGGAGGAGGAGGAGGAGGAGGAGGAGGAGGAGGAGGAGGAGGAGGAGTTGGAGGAGCAAGAGGACGACGACGACGAGTGGAACATCTAGGCCTCCCAGACGTGGTCCGAGTAGACGGGGTCGGAGGATCGCGCCGCATCGCCGATGCGGCTCGATTGGGAACCCGATGTGCTCCATCTCGACGTCGCCGATGCAGCGCCGACGTCGCAAATATATCGTCGATGCATGGGCGAGGCGGCGTGATCCTCAGGCCCCAGCTTCTCAGACGCCAGCTGGAAGGCCTCCAGAGGAGGAGCCCATCCGGCTGACGAGGCTGGACCTGCAGGAGATTGACGGCGTGCGCTTCGAGTGCGTGCAGCTGGGTAGGAGCGGCGCCCGCTTTCGCCTCGTCCTCTGCGGTCTACCTTTCTCCATCCTCCGTCTGTCTGCCATCTTCCACTCTACTCGGGTGTAGCCAGGGCCCGGACAAGGGGAACCGTTTAGTGATAGGGCCCCGATGCCAGAAAACATGCCAGAAACGTTAAACCAGGTCTGAGGTCTGCCGTAGGTTGTGCTTCTCGGGTGGCGACAGGTCTGGTTAGTGGAATGGGGCGGGGTAGGCGTCCCCAGGCACACATCATTGAACCAGGTCCCAGTAAATCTAGTCTTGCCAATGCCCGATCCTACGTCCCCCCCGTGTCCCCAGCCCCTCCTCGGCTGCTCCTCTCTCCAGATATATCTCTATCTATGTCTCGCTTCTCATTCCTGGTCCTCCATGCCTCCCCCGCTTTCCTCCGCCTTCTGCCTCCCTTGTCGGCCTTTTCAATGGATGTGCAGGTGGAGGGGGGGGTGAGGAAGAGGAGGAGGAGGAGGAGGTGGAGGAGGAGGTGGAGGAGGAGGAGGAGGAGAAGGAGGAGGAGGAGGAGGAGGAGGAGGAGGAGAAGGAGGGCGGACGAGTCGTCGGCCAGCAACTGACCCTCTGTTTCCGCCAGGGCGCTGCCGCTGCCGATGCGGCTCCACTGCGCCCAGTCCCAGAGGGAGGAGGGAAGGAGGAGGGGGCTGTAGTTCTGGCCTGGGCTCGAAATCGGTGGCCTGAATCTCTGCCCCTTTTCAGGCTGACAGGGCGCCGCCAGACTTCTATCTGGCCAGCTCGCTTCCTGGCAAGAACAGCGTTCGGCTCCACCGATCCGCGTCCCAGGGGAGGAGGATGAGGAGGAGGAGGAGGAAGAGGAGGAGGAGGAGGAGGAGGAAGAGAAGGAGGGGAGAGGAGGAGGAAGGAAGGAACGGACCGGCGCACGAGCTTTTGCAGGAGGAGGGCCCGTGTAAAACCGAAGCGCATCAACGATATTGCCATTAACCTTCCCTCCAAGTTCCCTCTTTCGCAGGCCCCTGCAAGAATTTATGTTCACTGCGGGAAGTGCCCCATTGGAAAGCCACCGTTTGATCATCTTCAGTCATGCCAACAGCCGAACTCCTGGGACTTCAGCGCCGCGAATCCACGTGGCTGTTGCGTTTTGACAATCCTAACTTGTGCCAGGACGTGGCTCCCGGGATTTCAACGCAGCGAGTCAATATGACTGTTGCCTCCTGACAATCCTGAATCGTGCCAGAATATTATTTCAGGACGTCGACCATACGGATCCTTGAAACTGTAGTAAGCTTTCCAGACGATGGCTCGCAGCGCCAAGGCGAACGCTACATTTCGAAAGGAACCGCTCCCCATGTGCGAAGTATTTGCAACATTAGGAGGCGAATGCGCGCGGAACGAAGGCGAGAGCCACATGTCGAAAAGCAACCGCCCTCCTTCCGTGAAAGCGTTGCAACAGTTGGAGACGAGAGTGCGCGGCGCTGAGACGAGATCCACATGTCGAAAAGGAGTGGTTTTCCATCCGTAAAATGTTGTTACAATCTTTGGAGGCGGATGTGCACGGCGCTAAGGCGAGAGCCACATTTTGAAGAGGAGCCGCCTTCCATGCGTAGTACTGTTGCAAGTTGTGGAGAGGAATGTACGCGGCGTTCAGGCGAGAGCCATCTTGTTTTGAAAGCGGCCCGCCCTCCATGCTCGAAACGCTTGCACTTTCCGGCTTCAGGATCATGCTTCAGGATCACAAGGGGTGAGGAAGTCCCAGGCGAAACGACTGACCCACCCCACCGACAGCTCGGGGGGTTCGACTGGGACAAGTTGCTGTGTCAGGGAAGGGGAAGGGGGAAGGAGGGAGGAACGCGAATCTTGAGCACAACTTTTTCCAGATAGCGCTGAACTTCCGCGTGCAAATCATTTTCACGTGCGCATCGGGCAGCATTTAGCGGAAACTGGGTGCATCGAAGCCGCGCACTATCGTGGCCATTTTGGGACAACCACTCTTGTGTTGATGGCGGGCACCTTTTGTGTCCGACCCAGTCTCATCATTTCTCGCGGGAGCCATTGTTGTGGACGAAGTTGTCCATGCGTTGGTCCGACTTTTGTCATGCGCTGTTCACTAGCATGCGGCCGTCATCCTGATGACCATGGCTCTGGAGGAAACAGGTACACAGAGAGAGAGGGAGAGAGGGAGGGAGAGAGAGAGAGTGAGAGAGAGAGAGATGAATGTTTGAATTCAGCCTGGCGCCACAGCGATTGCATCTCGTCGAGGGAGGGAGGAAGGAGGGACGAGGGAAGGAGGGAGGAGGTTGGAGGAGATGGGAGGAGGGAGGAGGAGGAGGAGGAGGAGGAGGACTCTCGTCTTCCTGAGCTCCCCTGGCTGCGCTCTGCTGCTGACCGATGCCTGACAGGGCGTGCGCTGGAACGGGCGGGGCGGCGCCCCCTGCCACTCGCGCCCCCCCGTCCGCTATCCAGCGCCCTGCGGTGACCTGCGGACCTCCGCCGCTTCGCTTGGCGATGGCGGCACCGCAGGGCCGTCTGAAATCCTCACCCCTGTGCAGGGGTGCTCGCCTCAGAGAAGTTTGCACCGACGGCACCCCGCGTGCGAGTTAACAGGTTCGCCGTCGCGAGCCAGCAACATCCTCTTGGCCCGCCCACTGGAGACTGCCCCACAGCTGCCACAAAACAGGGAGCTGCCATCACGCAGGAAGACATGCGGGCGCACAGGCGGCCTCGCGTTGGCTGCATCAGCGGGGGCGAACGGAGAGTCGCAGGAGGGAGCTTGGCGACAGGGTGTGCGGAGCAATCTCGCCGTGCTTTTCGCGCAACATGTGCGCATGCCACAACTTGTCTTCTGACAACGCCATGCTTGTCTTTCCCAGCGGAACGTGTGAGGGGTGGTCCAAGGGGGAGGTCCAGGCCTGACTCTGGCCCTACGTCTGGCACGAATCCCAGGGCCCACATTCACCCTGCCAGCGGTTCCGAGAAAAGTGTCAACACGCACGGTCACGCTGGCCACAAATTTAAACATGTGGCAAACGTTTGTGGAGCGCTCGTTCCACGCATCCTTCAGCCACTGCGGCACGTCATCCAATTGGACTCCAAGCTTGGTCTCTCAGTCTGTCAGCCTTGGCATTCCCGAGGACGTCGAGCCTCCCGAAATCCTGGATGCCCGCGGGGTCACGGCCCGGGTAGGCCTTGACCGTGGTCAGGTCCAGATCACTTGGGGCCGCAAAGGAATGCTGAAAAATTTGCCGAATCTGCCTCCAGGGGTCGGCACGCGGACGTCGCCTGCGTGTGCACCACACCTCGCCTCTGGCATGGGTGTGCGCAGCACGGGAATGACGTGCTAAGTTTTGGGGGTGTCGGGGTCCAGTAACTTCTAGCCCCCCTCTTCCGTGACTCGATGTTGTGTGCAAGCCTCGCTTTTTCTTTCATCGGAAATTGCGATGCGCGCCGTCCTGGCGCTGCTGCTGGTGCTCGGGCAGCTGGACCAGCGCGCGCGGGAGGAGGCGCAGCGCTCCGAGCTGGGCGCCGCGGTGGCCCGCCTCGAGGAAGCTGTGGGCGACTGCGGGCGCTCCGAGGCGGCGCCGCCCCTGGGCGCGCAGGAGGCCGTCGTCTGCCCGCCCTGCCCCGCCCAGGAGGTCGAGGGCCTCGGGTGGGGAGGCGTCTTGGGCGGCCACTTGGTGTCGGCGCTCATCGGTCGGGCGGCGGCCGCTGCTGGACGGAGGCACACTGGCGCGCGCGGGGAGGCTTTCTGTGGAGAGGTTCCTGGGGGCCGACGGGACGCCGTGCTCGGCCGAGGCCTTCGCGCATGAGCTGGTGCCAGGCAGGTCTGTGGGGCTTCAATGCGCCGACGTAGGCGAGACGCCGTTTCACAAGCGGGTTTTTCTCGGCCCCGTCGGCGCCAGCGGGGACGGTCGCAGTACGATCTGGCGAAGCATGACACCAGACCTCGTGGCCTATGAGGAGCAGTACAGCGAGGGCAACATGGACGTTGAGCAGTTCGTGGCGCTGGATGATCAGGCTGAGATCCCTCGGGCCTTGCGCGGCTACTTCTACACGTTCCAGCCCCAGGATTACCCCAGCACTCCAATGCTGCGCCGAGAGCTTGCGAGTTGCCTGGCCACGTACGATGAGCTGGGCTTCGAGGCGCCGCCCGTCCCGCTGCTGCTGTCGGCCGAGGGTGCGATGGTGCCTAGCAGGCGGGCGCCGCTCAAGAGCGCCGCTGCCGGCGCCGCCGAGCCACCGCCCGTGGCGGACGCGCCTGACGGCACCGCCACACCGCCGACGAAGGCGCCCGACGGCTACGCTGGGTGGTCGCCGAGGGTGGCGGCGCTGACGTTCGCGTCGGCGATAGCAGCGAGGTGCGGCAGGCTGACATCACGTTGTCCGAAGGGGTCGGTTTCGCCAAGGATAGGAGCGGCCACCCGAGGATAGCGCGCGTGAGGAAGTCAGGCATCCCCGATTTCAGGCCGAGAGTGATGGACACGCTCAGGGCCGAGCTGAAGCGGCATGGCGGCGCTGGACTCGCGGGCGCCGTCGAGCCCGAGGGAGCCGCTGTTGCTGGAGGCGAGCCCCGTAGCGCCGAGGAGCTGGGCACTGCTTCGGGCGACGGCGCCTCGACGACGCCCTCCGGAATCTCCAGCTCGTGCGTCTCGAGGCCGCTCGCCTCGAAAGACGCGACAAGCTGCTCCATGGTGCCCTCGACGACCCCGCGGCTCCGCCCGAAGAGGCCGACGTTGTCCACGTAGACGTTGCGGCGCGCGAGAAGGCCGCCCTTCAAGCACCGCAGCAGCAGCGGCTTGCCGTGATCAACGAATAGTTCGCAGCGATCGATGACCGCGGCGGTGGCTTCCTCGTCGATGTCCTGAGCGTAGAACAGCGACCAGGTAAACCCCATGGGCAGCGCGGTGGCTAGCGGGATGATCTCCATCGACGGCTCGAGTTTGGCGCAGTCGAGCTCGCGGAGGCAGATTTCGCCAGCAATTGTCGACGGGGGCCCGAAATACTGGTACAAGTGATC